CGCTGCAGCCACAGCCGCCTGCGCTCACGTGAGCACTTATTGGGCCTCGTATACCCAGAGAGAGAGAGGGCAGTCTACCATTGACTGAGGCGCCAATATGAACGCTAACCCAGCATTTCCGCCTTTTAAGCCGGATGAAGAGAAGTGGGACTCTTATAGAAACCGCTTCAATCACTATATCGATGCCATCGGTCTGGCTGATGCAGCGGAGCACCGAATAAAGTCATACTTCCTCAGCTACTGCGGGGCTGCAGTCTTCGATACCGCAACAGCCCTCCTTGCTCCACGAGAAATCAAGAGCGTTCCATGGCCAGAGCTGCTGGAAACACTTTCAAATCATTACTCCCCTAAACCGTCGCAGATTGCGAGACGTTTTGCCTTCCGGATGAGGAAGCAAGCAGATGGGGAATCCATAAATCAATACATGGCCGCCCTGAGGACTGCAGCTCTCCACTGCAAGTTCAAAAATTACCTGGACGACATGTTACTCGATCAACTCGTTTGTGGAGTCAAAGACTTAAGACTACAGAGGCGTTTGCTGGCCAGAAAAGATCTCAACCTCTCCCAAGCGGCTGAAGAAGCCTTAGCCGCAGAACTAGCGACCCAGGAAGCCGCTGAAATCCAAGGGACCACCCCCAAGCCCAGTTCTGCCACTGTTCACTCCGAGGAAGCGGTGAGTGAAGAAGACCCTACTGAACACTCAGATGTTCATTGTCTCAAACCCTTGAGGCAATCACAGGTAGGGGCAAGGCGAGGGAACAGCAACGCACCAAAGCACATCCTGTTATGCCTGTCCTGCGGGGGTCCCCATGCCCGGACGTCTTGCAAGTTCAGAAACGCTACCTGCAACAACTGCAGCAAAAAAGGTCACATCGCCAGAGCCTGCCAGGCGGCACACGTGGCACCACAGAGGTCTTCGTCCTCTTACTCTCCACCGGAGCCACCAAGGCAAGTAGAAAACTGTTATACTTGCTATCAAGCTAACCACACTTTCCTGACACCAAATAAAATCACACTTTCTATTCATTTAGAAGGTAAACCTTGTCTCATGGAAGTCGATACCGGGTCAGCACTCTCGATCATCTCGTGGAACACTCTTAAGAAAATCCGGCCCAGCCTGTCTAGGAGCCAACTCCAGAAGAGCCACCTCACCTTGAGGGACTATCAAGGAAAGAATATTCCAGTATTCGGAAAAGGCAAGTTCCTCGTTAAATTCAAATCCTTTAAAGGCCATCTGCCTTTAGTGGTGTTGACGGTGCCCTCCCTAGCCTGTTGGGGTTGGATTGGTTCCCCTATCTCGGTCTTAGCTTAACGGGAGTCCATGCTCTCTCAACTCCCGATATTGACTCCCTATTTGCAGACTACTCTGATGTGTTCAGCAACGAATTAGGCTGTTACAGTGGCACACCCATTTCTTTTTCAGTGGACCCCCAAGCAGTTCCCGTCCGTTTAAAACCGCATAGAGTACAATTTGCGCTACGCCCTAAACTGGACGCGGAACTGGACAAATTACTCAAACAGGGGGTGATTGAGCCCACGGATTTTGCTAAGTGGGAGACCCCAATTGTCACACCCCTTAAAAAGGATGGCAGTTTAAGAATTTGTTCTGATTATAAGACCACAATTAACCGCTACCTACAGGTTAGCGCTTACCCAGTCCCGGTAATCCAGCACTTACTCCACACATTTGAGCCTGGCACCATTTTCGCCAAATTGGATATGTCACAGGCTTATCAGCAATTTCCTGTTGACAGTCAAACGGCCGATTTACAAACTATTGTCACTCACAGAGGGGCATTTAGGTGCCGGCGTCTCCAATTTGGCGTTAGTGTTGCCCCAGGCATTTTTCAGTCATTAATGGAACGAATACTCCAAGGCCTCCCTGGCGTCGTTCCTTATTTTGATGACATATTGGTCTCAGCCAGGGACAGACCCCAACTTTTCCAAAGAGTCAGAGCGGTTTTAGACAAGTTCAGACAGCATGGCCTCAAGCTAAAAAGGGAGAAGTGTGCCATCGCCACTAAACAGGTGGACTTTCTTGGGTATAGAATAGACGCCTCTGGCATCCACCCGGTGGAATCTAAAGTCAAAGCAATTCACGAGGCACCCACGCCTTCCACAAAGTCTGAATTACAGGCTTTCCTAGGCTTATTAAATTTCTACGCTTCGTTCCTACCCCACAAAGCGTCAGTAGCCGAACCGTTACACAGACTTCTAGACAAAAATGCACCGTGGCATTGGGGACCCAAAGAGGATTATGCCTTTAAAGCAGTCAAATCGCTGCTCACCTCAGACGCTGTCCTAATCCAATTCGACCAGCGCCTCCCTTTAGTCTTAGCAGCAGACGCATCCCCCTTCGGGATTGGGGCTGTCTTAAGCCACAGACTCCCCAACGGCTCCGAGGCACCAATCGCTTTCTTTTCCAGAACCTTTTCACCAACCGAGCGTAATTACAGCCAAATTGATAAAGAGGCCCTAGCCGCAGTTGCTGCGGTAAAAAAATTCCACGAATTTCTTTTTGGTCACAAATTCGAACTCATCACAGACCACAAGCCGCTTCTGGGGCTACTGTCGGGGGACAAACAAACACCCCAAGTCTTGTCACCCAGGATGACAAGGTGGACCTTGTTCCTGGCGGCCTACTCGTACAAACTCGTTCACCGCCCGGGAAAAAACCTAAGCCACGCCGACGCCCTCAGCCGCTGCCCACTGCCAACCCCTGTGGAGGACCCGGCTCCGGTCCATGCCATCTTCGATGTCAGCGAGCTCAACCTACCTGTCACCTCAGGCGACATCGCCTTTCACTCCAAAAAAGACAAAACAATCGCCCAGGTTCTGGACTGGGTGCGGAGGGGGTGGCCGGTCACTAATTTCACAACTGAATTCACACCATTTAAAACCCGCCAGCAAGAGCTTTCTAATTTACAGGGCTGCCTGTTGTGGGGAACCAGAGTCGTCATCCCAATCTCCCTGCGCACACCTGTCCCGAAGGCGCTGCACGAGGGTCACCAAGGCATCGTCCGGATGAAGGCGTTGGCTCGGAGTTACGTCTGGTGGCCAGGCATGGACGACGAGATCGCCAAATGGGTAAGCTCTTGCCGACCCTGTCAGGAATCCAGGCCAGCACCGCCAATCACCACCCCAACCAAGTGGGAGAGTGCCAATGCACCGTGGTCTCGGCTGCACATTGACTTGGCCGGGCCAATGCATGGCAAGACCTTCTTGGTGGTCGTGGACTCGTATTCCAAGTGGATCGATGTGGCCCTACTACCCACGACCACCACCCGGGCAGTTGCCCAAGCCCTGACCCGTTTATTTGTAACACACGGGCTGCCTGACACTCTAGTCTCGGACAATGGCCCCCAATTTACGTCTACAGAATTCAGCTGGTATGTCACCAACCTGGGCATCCGGCACATCTTAACAGCCCCCTTTCATCCTGCCAGCAACGGGTTGGCAGAGAGAGCCGTTAGGTCAACAAAGGAGGCGTTGGCCAGATTCAATCAAGAGGACTGGCACTCTAGGCTCTCCCGCTTTCTCTTGAGCCAACACACGACCCCCTGTACGGTTACAAACAAGTCTCCCGCTGAGCTACTAATGGGCAGACGCCTGAGAACAGTGCTAGACAGGCTGCATCCCCATTATTGCCCTGACACTCCTATCGGGTCTGACGGCAGGGTCAGAGATTTTGTGTTGCAGGACCCAGTGTTTGTCAGGAACTACGCCGGCGATCCGCTATGGGTACCCAGGAGAGTCGTGGCCATCACCGGTCCGAGATCGTACCAAGTTCAACTGGAGGACGGGCGAGTTTGGCGGAGACATCTGGATCAGATAAGGAAGCGCCAGAGTGGTCATGCCAATGCTGAACCATGGACTCCGGTAGATCTCCAGTCACCACACCAGAATCCGATCGAGGACCATCTGAGGGGCCTGTCACCACCGGCCGAGCGAGAGGAACGGACGGTAGACCGGGACCGTCCGCCAGAGTCATCAGCTTTGCCGACCAGTGATGCCACCGGGTTGTTGGACAATGACTATACTACAAGCCAACCCGGTGGCAGAGACTATTCACAGACACCAGAGCTGGTCCCAGAGCAACCCCGCTCTCCAGCACCCACCAATCCTGATTCTCTGAACTCTGTGCCACTCAGTGACTCACCAGAACTGCGCCGGTCCGGGCGCCCGCACAGACCGCCTGCATATTTAAAAGACTATTCATGTTCGCATCTGGGGGGAAGGGGTGTTATGTCCTTGGAACTGACCAAAGTTCCCAACCAAGTCCGTCTATACTACGGGGGCGTTTACAGCTCCCATTGGCTGGCTCCCTTCAACAGCCGGCTATAAAAGCCGGCTGCTAGGTCGAGCCAGCTGCTGTTCGCTGAGCATGTCTGCTTGTTAGTATGCAGACGCGACAGCCCTTTATTCCATTGAATAAAGCCATTCCTTGTTAATGCTCTGGTCTAGCCTCTCATTTCCCGATCTATAACACTATATTTCACCATGTAACTGCTAAAGTCGATGGTGCAGGAATATGTGATTCTCAGGCCAAACAGAGGCATTATATAAGCAAATGACCATCAATCTTGAGAACAAGAAATCAACAAATTTCAATTCACTCAAAAATTCTGGAGTAAAAAAACATAGGAACTAAAACCCAGAGCAGTCATTATATATTCGGCTTAATTTCTATGCTCTATAGAAACTGATCTTCTACATAAGTAGGATTTCTATCTCATCCTCAATAAAGCAAAATATCCAGCTGTATTGTATGTAAGAGTTTCTTCTATGTGGAAATCCCTGAATACAACTAGAAAACTGAGGTTTACTGCTGAGCATAGAGTGAATTCTGACTCTCTGCTCTAAGATGAAACGGAACTGGTATGAAATGAAGCAGGAAGAATAGAAAAGGTAGCAATATAGTTAATTAGATAGTATTTTTCACTTTTGGTTGTTTTCATTAATCTCTGCTTGAAAAAAAAGAGGTAATAAAGGATACTTACACTGGGATGTGTTCAAAGGCATCTTCAAAACTTTCCTGCAAATCAAATAAAAATAAATTATTAGAAAATATATTATCTTCCTATAATTCAGAAGGTGTATTGGCAACTCTATGAATTATCTCTAGATCTGAATGCCTAACATGACTATTCATTTAGGTAGGAAGTAGCAATCAGCGATATGGTTCCCTCTGCTTTTCAGCCAAAGCCTGAAAAGTTGCACAAAGTAAAATCCTCTAGTCAACTGGTAGAGCTCCGTCTACGATTTGCTTAGCAGTAGCAGTATAACTTTATGATTAGTCAATTGACCACATCAAAACAATGGGCGTCAGCCAGAATAGGTTACAATAAAATGAGATGAAGGGTAAGATATAATAAACATAACAGAGTGACATAAAATAATGCAAAATTAAAGTAGAATTTGGACACATAAGTATTAAAGTACAAAACATTACGTCTTCTGTACCAAACTAGGAAATCTTCAGCCTTATTTCAGTGACTGAATAATGCATTTAATTTCTGTCACTGACACTTGTGGCCAAGGAGAGAAGTTATCAGGGGTCAGAAATTTAATATCCATTTTTGCTGGCTGATACAACTTTGAGTTGTCAAATAAATTAATGTAAACATAAATATAAACATCCTCCAAAACTGAAGCTGAGATGGAGATATTAAGGAGAAGCTTTTGCTCCTTCAGCATACTGGATATGATGTTCCAAAATAAGACTGAAGATGTTTTACATTTACCTCTAGGACTGTCTTTTCTAATTGCACCCTCATGTTGGGGAAGAAATTTCAAGACGAATATGAGAATAAGTATAAATTTAGCAGCATAACTTCAGATTTGAATTGAATAACAAGAAAATAGAATGGGTCTTCACTGGAAAAAAAAAATCCTGCCCTTGCCAGCCCAACTCTGCCTTAGCAAGTACACACAATCCTCCTGAGGCCTGCTCTTCTATCATGACTTTACATACATAGACCAGGATCTAAAACCTAGCATCTTCATCACCAGTAGTCAACCATGTCTTTTAGAGTGGTATGTCAAACTTGAAGAACAGAATTATATCTGATGTTTGATTTTTCCATCTGGTTATTTGACAAGTGAATAGCTGGATGAAGCTTCTGTGCTTATTGTCAGAAGGGATCGCTGGCAATGTGCTAAGGCATGTGGTTGAATGCTGTGTCTCATGGAGTCATTCTGTAGGTAAGATGAGTTTCAAAATCCCTTCAGTATCTAGAATGGCACACTGTTTGAAATTTGGAGTGCCTTTGCTGCTCTCTTGCTATTGTATGGGGCCAGGTAGGTTGCAAGATGACCTGCAGACCAGAAGATGAACATTAGCAAATAGTTGTTTTGTATAGTTGTCTATATAAATGGCCAGAAGGGTTGTCTCAGTTCTGTGTGGTGATCTTCTTCCTATCCGAGAAACTACCTTTGACATAATTCCCTCTAATTCCTGGAGCTCAGGTTTGTCTGGAGACCTGGAAAGCATACCAGTTATTGGATGTGTTTGTCTGCAAACAGTCATCTCATATTCCTGGTGTGACTTGCCATCCAGCTGTCATTGTAGTTCCCAGGGTTTTAGACAATTAAAACCTTCCTCTTGTCTGTCAATAGAATTTCACTTTTTGTTCTTTGGAGTTTCCAAGTGTGGTACTGTTTTAACGAGCTAGGGTAGAGAGGTTTAGATCTGCTCCAGGGGACTTCGTGTTGATAATCTTCATGTTTATGTTTCAATAAGGTAGGAGAAAGGGGAGAGATGCCAGCGACTTCTTTCTCAAAACAATTACAATTGCCTTGGGTAGTTGGTAAAACAAAATCAGTTAATGGTTTGGCTGCTTTGCGTTTTGCCACCAAAACCTGACTGGGCACTGAAAGAGTTAATCAAGTTTCCTTCAAGGAAATGTGCGTTGTCTTGGTGTAGATAGCAGAGATTGGTTACCTGGACAATCCTCTCTCAGAGGCAGGATTGGAAAGATGTCCTTGAGGTTATCTGAAATTGGGTTGTCACATTTGTTTTTTTAAAATTGACAGTATTCACTGGACCAGGGTAGATTAGGGTCTCCTCTGAATGAAATCCACATTTTGGAAAACCAGGAAAATGTGCAGAAAGGGCCTCATTTTATCCAATGTTGACTGTGGATTGACTGAATATTAAATAAAATTCACTCAGTCTCTGCTGGATGGGAGCCATTCAGTCTTTTGTAAATCAATCAGCTGCTTTTTGCAGGGTAGCATCTGGCTTAAGGATAATTACTTTTTTTATCCCTATCATTCTCTATTTGCTCCGCTATTTGATATTTGTAGGCTGTACGTAATATTTGTGATTTATATGCATCCCTCCCTTAGTCGCAAGAACCCTAAGCACTTGCTTCTCACCCTTCTCTGCATGTGTCGACCATTACCCTCCTTCTTCCTCGATATAAGGATAAAGTTGCCCATGACTTCTCTGCTAGCTGCTTTTATGGCACACTTTGTATAAGAGATGTGTGTGTTTTAACAGTTTGTCATTTGATTGGTTTTCATTAAGCTGCATAAAGATCTCTTAAGGAGTCCAGTCTGTTTTTTAACTGGGGACAACAACACAAAAATAGAGAAAACAGTTTGGATTGTATAGTTATGATTTACAACTTTGGCCAAGGAAGATGTCCATTTTAATTGTTTCTAATTCTTTATAATGCCTTCTATATCATGATTTTCTTGCGCTATGTTATTTCCACATATCCTCATTAAGTCAAAGCCAAGTAGTAAATGGCAACTCTTTGGTCTCTTTATAGTATCAAAACAATGCACTAATGGGATCAAGGAAGGCAATATGGATATACACAAATATAAAATAATATTTCTTCTTATATCAAGATGTACCATGATTAGGTTTATTAAGCTCCCTTTAACTCACTCCATGTTTTGGCCCCTTTGACTCATTTATAAAAACACTTATAATCAATAAATACTATCAGATTATTTTCCATCAACCAAATTTCTTGAAGAAAAATCATATCATATTCTATAGAAAATTAAAGCATTTTCCATCTATGCATTTATCCATCCAACCAGCAATGTACAAAGATACAGATTTAATTGTAGAATGTAGAATGTTTTCAAGTTTGTTTTTTTGTTGATTAACTTCATTTTGGATTTGGATCTGATGATTATTTTGTCTACTTCTTCACAAAGTTGTTGTGTTGGAATATGATATATTTGTTGGCCTCTCATCCTTTCTTCCTTTGACGTTTTTGAACCATCTTCTAGTCTTGTTCCATTAAATTTAAAATTCTTTTAGTATTTTCATAAGTACAATTATTTTTAACCCTAGAAATATTTGATGTAAACCTATAGGCTGCACCCTATGCTTCCTTGAAGGATCTTTTAATTCTGGTTGCTTTGTTCTGTTCTAGTGTTGTAAACTCCTGCACTATTTGTCTTCATTATCTTATTCATCTCAGATGGCACTGGATTTTATGATGTTCTGCAAATCATTGGCTGTTCCAGAGTTTGTCCATTTGGATAATTCTCTTCATGATAATTAACAACTGTATATTTCTTTGTCAGACCTCTTTCTTCAGATAGCACACATGTCCTTGGGAGGTTTACTTCTGTATTAATGAGGCTTTTTCCTGTTTTTTCACTTTTTAGCAGGATTATCATATTCAATAATCTTCATTTATGTTATATGCGGAACCTTCGTTTTTTGTATTTCCGGTGTTACGTTGTTTTATAAACTTCACATGGTGTCTTGTTTTCAGTTTCTTACCTCTACCCCATAGGATTTATTTAACAAACTCTTTTTCTTCATTACCAAATTAGGCATTGCTATAGATTCAAATGTCATGACTGCTCTGGCATTTATCTATCAGTAAAACAGATACTCAACTTTTATCTTTTGCTGAGATAAATTAATCTAAAGATTGCGTCAAATGATCAAAGTACCTAGAAAAGTAGCAGATTCTTTTTTAATTAAATCTGTAGATGATAGATAACTTACCTGTGAGGGATATTTTAATTAGGATTCCTGCACTGAGAATAGCATTGGACAAAATAGCCCCCCCTTCCAAAATATATGATTTCTTAAAATTTACTTTTGCGTATAATCATTCTATTTTATATGCAAAGTTATATACTATGCTACAAAAGAAACCTGTATATTGTTTTCTGATTATGTAATTCATTGATGTCCATTAAATATTCTTCTTACTATCATTTTTGCTATCCTCTGATTTCATAGGTCAATCATTACTGTAGAGCATGGAACAGCCTGAATGGGAAAACTTTTTCATGTAAGGTCTGCTGTGGTAGTACATTAAAAAAAGGTAATGTTTTACTTTTATTGCAGTCCTTGATACCAAGGCATTTATAAAATTCATAAATAAATAAATGTGGTACCAACTGTCTGATGGACAAGCTGCATTATTTCTCTGCTCCTCTGGGCAGCCTGGTAACTTTTAGTGCTTTGATGGGATGCAGAGAAATAAATGGCCAAGCAGTTCCTAACCTAATCTAAAACTGATGCTGCCTTCCTCCCTGCTGCTACCATTAATTCCAGAAGGCTTTCTGGAAGAACTGTCCAGAATAGGAACTCAGAAGGGAGTTGTGTTGCTACTATAGCAATTGCCATGCATGATGGACTGATTACTATAGGCTCTATGTCTGCCATTGATACAAATGCAGTCACTATGTTTGTGGACTATTTCTTCACAATTTCGTCCTCACAATTTCTCCAAAACTGGTAGACTGTTCCAACCAAATAATCAAGCTTAGCAGGCTTGATGAAATACAGCTCTTAGGGCATTGAGAAAACGTGGTGGGTGGGGGAAAATCAATACAACCTACACCTCAATTTTAAGTTTAAATAAGTTTCTGTGCTAACATACAGGTAGTCTTTGACCTATGACCATAATTCAGTCCACCCATGCTCTCCCTAATGTAGTCATTAAGCAAAGCATGGGTCCCTCAGGAGTGAAGAAGGCCCTGAGAGATCTAGCACAGATTGAAGTCCACCTGCCCCTAGACCCAAGTCTTACCCCATACCCTGAG